CTCCATGAAGTCCCATCAATCGTATGTACTGCCATGACCGCTTCATTTTGCCTTGTCAGCGATGTTGAAGGGTTTTGCCGCAACATGCTCTCACAGCATGACACACTGGATGGAGGTAGATTGGATATTCCTTTGTCTGATGAATACAACACTTAAAGGAAGAAATAACTAAATTCTGCTAGTTCAGCATTTTTTTTAAAGCTAGGGATAACTTGTCTCATGCAAGGGAGCGACTGACTCCACGTATCGACTCTTGCCGGGCAAGTCCGGATTTTGTCCTCATAACGAGTGTGGGGGGGTTTGGCGTTATGACTTAAGTGGCTTCTACTTGTGAAAGCAGAGCCCAGCGAGTAGGGAAAATAATTTGCTGCCCGTCATCAGAATAAAAGTATTTTTACTTGAGTTAGACACCACCACATCGATGACTTCAGACAGCGGTGAAATATATGCCGCATATCTGAATTTTACGCCATTAGCTAATACTATGTAACAAAACTTAAAGTAGCTAACATGCATTCTGATGTTAACTATAGAGTACATTTAAGCAGTGTATGAATCATAGAGTGTCATAATTTTGTGCCGTCATGAGCTTTATTAAATCAGTGGAAGTTTTTATTCCAGCTTGACCGCAAATTTCCCCAACTCAATGTTTCACAGATTTATGACGCTCTTTCATTCTTGTGTTGGGGCACATGTGAAGCTCGGTTGGCAATATAAATAATCGCACATGGGCTGCTGAGGTACTTTGAGAGGAGGTTTATATAGCTGAAACTAAATATTTAGTGCGATCTCCAGGGGAGCAGGATTCTCTGCGACAAGCTTTTAATGTGTTATTACAGCCATGGGAAACCGTGCACCCTCAGCCACAAAAATGCAGGAGAAGCAAAGTGCAGTTCATTTTGTATGGGGAAGACCACTGCAGAGAGACATCGCCGAGACTTTTGGACCTGATGTCATCTTCCACACTTGATGTGACAGTTAAATATGTTCTCATTAAGATTATTCACCAGTGGCCAGATGGTTGCTTTTTTCAAGGTATAGTTTACACATATCTAATTGGGAGGATGCCTTTAATTGTGAATCGAACGTATATAAATAACTTTTAACTTGTCAACTACTCATTAAAGTGCTAGTGTATGTCTGTGTTCATGAAAAAAGTATTGTGTGTTTAGTCATATTTCCAATATGCTAATGTGGCGGTTAACATTGAACTCTATGATCTCTGCCAAACAACAAGTTCCACATCCAACCATCCATCCATCCATTTTTGGATCCGCTTATCCTCACAAGCGTCACGGGACGTGCTGGAGCCTATCTCAACTGTCTTCAGGCAGTAGGCGGTGGAACCCTTAAACTGGTTGCCAGCCAATCGCAGGGCACACAGAGACGAACAACAATCCGTGCTCACACTCACACCTCGGGACAATTTAGAGTCTTCCATAAACCTGGCATGCGTGTTTATGGCATGTGGGAGGAAACCGGAGTACCCAGGGAAAACCCACACAGGCACGGGGAGAATATGCCAACTCCACACAGGAAGGCCAGAGTCAGAATCAAACCTTGCACCTCTGCACTGTGAGGCCGACAAACTAACCAGACAAGCAACGGACCGCCTACAAGTTCCACAGCAAAGATTAATTTGTGTGAATTTTTTTGCTGGCAACTAGTTCAGGGTGTACAGCGCCTGCTGCCCGAAGACAACTGGGATAGGTTCCAGCACGCCTGTGATTCTCGTGAGGATAAGCGGATCAGATAATTGATGGATATTGGGGGGCGGAGGTGGGAGGGTGCTGGCTGTTTTGGCGGTGTGATTCAGTGTCATGCGAATGCCAAGTACAGTTTTCTTACCATGATGACCCCAGGACGACCAGGGTTGCCAATTTATCGACTTGCTTAAATTCATCAACTTTTCCGATCACACCAGCAACTATTTCTAGCCAAAAAGTGGATCGCAACAGCATTTTTTTGTGGTGTTATTGGACACTTTGGGAGATTCTCAGACTCGGTTCAATGCAGGAGTGTTAGACAATAAAATAACAAACTATAAAAGGTTGGTGCCCCACTCTAATTTAACGAACCATTGAACACGTTTTGATTTTGGCGGACATTCAAAGCATCAGCCAATCTCGCTTAGTTGCCAGGCGTTCTGGTCTTTTAGGGAACTAATGTAGCTCCTTTGTTAGACACGTAAGCTTTTTTCATGTCAAAGTGGTTGTGCTTGAGCATGGCAACATAAATTCCTGCCCACATGCTATCCTTCCCCCCCCCCCTCCCATTAGTTGGCTCATTTTAGGGCCCAAAACAGAGCTGATAAGAGATCCTGGCAGCTCGAGGATTAACGTGCTAGGTCAGACTGTACCCCGCTGCTCTCCACCAAGGAATGCAAGCAAAGCAACAAGTAGGTAGGTCACGAACTGACGATTCATTCCATCTGCCACTCGCTCAATCTGCCAGCGAGGCTCTTAGCCAGCCTTTACTGTTGATCAGTTTATTCGGGAGTTTTTCGGGAGCACAGTGCAGCACTGTAAATGTGTATTCTTCTCAAGCAAATGCCCAGCTCTTGCCCTGAGTTCTTTTTACGTACTGTATGTAAAATAAATTACTGTCCTCTCCTCTTCACATCTGTTGTCTTGAGATGATATGCTCTGTTTTGGCTATTTCATTTTAAGAGGGCTGGGAAACAAGTTTGGTATTTTGATACAAGAGGAATGAGAGGCCAAGAGAGGACAGGGTCAAAAGTTGCATTTACACGGTGAAAAATTACAGTCAGTGGAATTTAACAAACAAACAAACAAACAAACAAAAACAAGCAACAGAGAACAACGCCAGAAACACAATTGCCCTGTTTTACAGAATAAAAATTTCCACTTTGCTTTTATTTTATTTTGTTGAGTATGAAAAGAGGACGCTCGGTCACCCAACTGTTAGATAATCTGGTAACTACAATGTGGTTGCTAATTGCAACCAGTAACACAACCAATTGCTCCTTTATTTGCATTTGACAACAGTGTGAGTTTCAGGTCACAATTAGTATTTGCCATCCTGAATATTGACTGCTTAACATTTAAGATGATAGGCCCAGACAATTTTGCACACAGATCAGGGAGAAACAAAAAACACTCTTAAGATACCATACACCAAAGGATAATTGGTCAGGATCATCTTTTAACGACATCCGACAATTGTGCCTTTGCTGAATCTGATCGTACGGGGCTAAAATTATCAAAGTAGGCCCGAGCATCGGGATGCATGTACCCAGCTTAAGTTGACCAAGTTGTGGAGAGGTGTGACAATTTGTCGTGTGCTCCTCTTTTCCAGTCGTGCGTGTACATAAAGGAACCAACTTAGGCCTGCAATACACTGTGCTTATAATTCCACAGATGGAACACACAACTTGTCTATCAACAAATGATGAATAAATTTGATAAATCAAAGCGTAATGGTTAAGTCTCTGAAATAGTCCAAAGAGGGACAGTGAGTCAATATATTGCATCCTTTTGCATCTGCGATTGTGCAATTATGTGCTTCACTGTGTGGGCTTTTTTGTCAAGGGACGAACACATACTGGAAGCCTTCCTTCATTACATTTCTCTCCCACACTCTGCTTCACTCCCAGGATACAAAAAGTCATTTTTTTGCCTCTGTGGGACACCACGTTTCTTTCATCCTCTTTGGTTTGGAAATGAGTATGACTTTCCTTCTGCAAGGGGAAAGACATTCCTCAAGGTCATTACCCCCCCACCCCCCAAAAAAAGAGCCACATTTGCTTAAATTAAATTCCCAAATGCGATGGTGGGAAGATTTGGCTCTTGAGGAGCATTAGCAAAGTTATTGCATTTTTTAATCTTTTTTTTTTTTTTTTTTGCTCCAATAGTCTGCTAATCTTCCGGTTCAATAAACAGATATGAGCTTGATTTTAAACACCACCTGCAACTGTGATGGATTGCTTCCAGACAAGAGAGGTACAATATGGGAAAAACAAATCACTGAGGAAGTACACATCACATTTGGATCCCACTAAAAGAGACATAATACTGAGCAAGAGAGGTTCCTTATTGTGGGGGTGATAATCTTTTCCTGCCTGGTAAAATCATTAAGATTTTTATCTATTCACCAAATGGAAACTTCATTTCCTGCTTATTTTCACTGCGCGGCCTACTGTCAAGTCACAGTAAATGGGGCAATGTGGCATTGTTAGGTTGCAGATTTGAAACAAAAACAGCCTTGCCACTTACATGCAGTGATTCGCTGAACCATTTGATGATAATTATAGACCGTAGATGAGGAAATCCCTCAATTCCTCGGAATTGTACGTTTAGTAACATTGCCATCAAACTACTTTCTCACGGAGCTGTTTACAAAGAGACGAATCACGCCCGATCTTTGCTTGTGAACGACTGAGGAATTCTGGGAAGCTGTCGAATTACAATAATGTCTGTCAGTGTTCTCGGTGCTCGGTTTGACTTGCAGAATCACATACCGACGTGTCTTCTTCGACGGGAGCCAGCCTCTGCTGATAAGCAAGGTTCTGAGCACCCCCTGCTGGAAAACTTTATATTGCACTCTGAAATAAAATACAGTAGACACTAAACTCTCGCTGTATCAGTAGAAAAGAACTTTCAGACATATATAAAAACTAAAACTATGGGGGGGGGGGTATTTCTATGTATTCACTTTTATCATTGTGCCATGCAAGGAGCAAGAGGAGTATTGTAGTGGAGAGGTATAAATTGATTCCAGGTCCAAGTCTGGCAAGAGATTCCCAAGGAGACCATGCATCATCTCATCAGGCCTCAAAACGTTGGATGGATGGCATACGGGCGTGTGGCCATCCACTCTACCGAGCCAGTGATCTCACTTTTCCAAGTGTATGATTCCGAGTTAACGATTTGGAGTCGATCAATCACTGGTGTTGTTGCTTTGCGATCAGCAAAGCGTGGTCTTCAGCCTTTTCGAGCAGCTTCATTAGACTTGTAGGTACTCAGAAGAACCAGCAACGATTGTGTATGTATTGTTTATAAAACAAACGTGGCTTGATTTTTTTTTTATTATTATTATTAATGTTGAGAGGCATACATTACAGTGCAAAATGTTCTTTGGCAAACATACAATACAAATGTCTGGATAGGTACTAGTATAGCCACGTTGACCAACTGTAAGGGACAGTGTTGGGAAGTCATGTTGGGTCTTGCAAAACACTGCATTCTATTGACACTTGGGAATGATTTAAAAAAAAAAAAGGGAAAAGGGGCACGTTACTGTCAAGGCGACCAGTAAAACATATTTCCCCAGGTAACAGAGACCTCATAGTGCTATGGCACACACAACGTTGGAAATGGGGCCAAATTACATTTTGCTGTTATCAGCTACGTACATACGCATTCAAGATTAATGTCTTGGAATATTCATCAGAACACTACATTCAGTAAAACGGACACACATTGAAGCATGTTAGACTACAATCGGGACTAGATGCTGGTGCAGGCAAGGAGAGACCTGTCAATGGACAGTTTCATGTAAAAACCCGTCCTGAATGGAACATTCCAGACAGTATTATTTCGATTTAGTGACAGATGCTTGCTCAGGACGTTACCGCATAAAGAAAACAATGGAGGGGAACACTGCGGCTGCTTTGTCATAAAACAGGAAGACAAAAAAACATGATTTTAAGTTACACACGTGAGCCAGTGCATTGAATGTAAGTTTTCTATGTACATTACTGTGTACAAGCCGTAGAATCTGTCTCGTTGCATGCAAAAACACTACGTAGGAAATGTGCTTTGATTGTCTGTATCCCAACGTTCAGGACCCTTCCCCGACATTATTTCCCACCTCTCATATGGCTTCCATTACAGCGGAATGAGGGTCAGAGGGTTAAAGAAACCTGTGCTCTGTTGGCGTGCTCGACTAAATGACGTAACGCCACTTTGGAAAAAAATTTGGCAATGAAACACGCACGGCAAAATCTCTCTAAATGTATCAGTACAAAAGAGGACCCACAAAAGGGGTTAAGACACTCCTGAAATGAAAACACATGATTTGCAAAAGTCTACATGTACATGTTTGACAACTGAATGCATGCAATCCAGTGCTGCAGGTCCACGGCAGGCAACAAAAAAAAGTCGACAGTAATCATTGCAGTCCTTCAACTGTGAGTAGTGTGAACTATGATGACAAATACTGTGGCAGTAGATATAACAGCATCACAGATGAAATGTGGTTTCATAGTTACATACATTCTAGATGTTACTCGCTAATATTTGGCTTTGCAGACTGAGGACAACACTGGGACTGACATGACGTCACAATATGACAGTATATAATCAGAAACGGCCGGCAGAGACATTTCGGAGCAGAAATCAGTAGACATCTCTCTTTTTTTTTACCTTTTAAAATTTCATAGGGTTTCACATTATGTTCGTTTGGATATAAAAAAAAATAATAATAATAACCAGACATTGAAGCACCTTGGATAAAAAGATGATCTAACTAGAAAACCTCTTTTAACTTGTATAAAATGATCTTCTCAATTGTGATTTAACATAAAAAAATAGGCAGATATCAAGCGGATATAGGCTGCTTTGCATACAAATGACAATACTTTGAAGGTATTTAGTGATTAATTCATTCATAAGGGTTAAAATAGCACCAGTTTTCGGCATCTCTAACCTGAGAAAACACTGGCCGGCCTCCTTTCAATCTATTTCCCATTCCTGCGGGCTGATGGCAACTGGCCCTGTGATTTGACGCCAAAAGGGGGGCAAACACAGAGACTGAATTGTTGCATTGCAGAGGCCTCAGGGAGCAGCGATGAATCCATTTTGTCCCAGAGGAGGCAGCGATCCAAACATAACAAAACATGACCCTCTCCCCTAATCACACACACGAAAAAGAAAGAATAGAAAAGAGAAAAAAATAAAATGAGGCTATTGGGTGTATCGAGGCAACTGGTGGCCAACCGACACTTTCAAGATTCTCCTCCTCTCGGTGGAAGTCTGAGTGTTTCAGACGCTTGAGTGTGACTGGCGGGAGGTCCTGAGGATTACTCATGGCTGCTGTCTGCTTTTTGCCACTTGGCTACATCCAGGCACACGGGGCAGCAGGCGCCTTTTAGCTTGACAGACTGTGTGCACTGGGCCGTCGGACAAGACTCCACAAAGCAGGTCACTCTGGTGTCCTGCGGGAGCAAAGAAAGAAGGGGGCAAACGGGTTAGTTACTTGATGAGATTACGGAGGATTGAAAAATTCCCTGTGGTTACAATTGGGAACTCCAGCCGACAATAGAACAGGAAGGAGACCAACCAAACAACTGTGACACACCCTCAGTCGTCAAACATTTTGGCTTTTGAGCATTTTGAGAGCAGTCCGCAAATTTCAAGGGAAAGTACAGTGGAAGTAGAATGCCACATAAGTAGCAGAAAAAAAGCCTCGAAAGTGGCAAAAAGCTTTAACAACAATGCAATTCGTTGTGTGGGTCACTTGAGCAAACCGAACATCAGTGAAGTGGACCTTTGCTAAAAAAATGCTAAGCTAACTAACCAACTAACTAACTATGGATATACAGTATATAAAATAATTTGGACTGCTGCATTACCATGAGTGACAGCAGTGTTAGCCGACCTAGCTAAGCTAGCTAAAACAATGTGGTCAGTTAGACCCATTCAGTGTAACTACAAGAGTGCCGGAAGGTGGACAAGAGGGATTTAATTGTTCTTGAGAAGTTGTGGTGGAATTTTCGGCCAGAGCCACGGTGAATGAATAGCCTACGGGGTCGATGAGCAATGTCCGACCATTGTATGCAATTTTAGTTTTAGTTTACTGTGGTTACTCCTCCTACGACGGTTAATAATTTTCCAAACCTTCAAATATTGCCGTATTATTAAGAAAGGTAACCATTTTATTATCCTGAAGAAATGAATGTGCTTTTCATATGGTAACATTTTTGAAAGGAGAAAAATATTAAGTAAGGCAATTTAAAATGCACTGTAGAAAGGCTAGTAATGAGCCAACATTTCCATAAGAAGAGAAATCTAACACTATTGTCTATCTTTATACTCTATCGAGGTACCTATGTGTGCTGCAAAATGTGCATTTAATATTTGGTGGTTTCCTCAGCATATGTTGACCTTACTTTGCATTCACATTGAGTGCACGGGTCTTGCTTCCACCGCTCTCCATCTGTCCGCTCACGCCCGTTACTGTCAGTGCAGTCAGTCTTGCTCAGTCGGGCTTCTAGTCGTTTAATCTGAAAACATGAAAGGACAAACAGCGGACTCAAAGGCTGTTTCTGCGGGTAGAAACCACGCCAAGCTGGACATTCTATTGATTTGGTCTCATGCTGTGTTTCTTGATTTATTTTTGATCGGCTGTCCTTAATGTGTCAAAAGTTGGAGTTATTTCCTGCCTAACTGGTTTTTAACCCTTGTCATGTCTGTGTTCTGACAGGTACAGAGTATGATAACTTTAGCATACTTTGTAGCAAAGGTCAGGGGCACCGAGGCTCCAAATGTACAAAAATAATACAGCTGGAATTCGAACAAAATGTTTGGAAAAGGAAAGGAATGCACCGACGTAAAATTATATCAAACACATGTATGCTTGAAAAAAGGGATCAAAGTAAAAACTATGCAATGATCACTTGCCATAAAACCACTATTCTGACTCGAACACTGTACTGCACGTCAATAATCTGACACCTAACGTGACTCCTAATCTCCAAATTGTCTGCGGATACAGGAATTTACCTGTTTGCGTAAGCTTGTGATTGTCTTCTGCATGTCAGAGACAAAGTCCTGGAATTCGCTAACTGGGGTATCAGTACTTTTTTTTGAGGTCACAGTTACATTAACATGGCTTTTTGTAGCTTCTTCCAAGTGACTGCAAAACACAAAGACAAACAAAAATAAAATTAGCATACAACACCGTATTCACACGGAGATGAAATTATAAATGGCCTGTTGCTGCGAAAAATGATTCACACGGCGCGTGTGTCACCTGTTTTCCATGAAGCTGTCAGCATGTCTGCCGTCTTTGTAGCTGTGATCAACTGATCTGCGCCCTCTAAAGTGGTAGGACAGTGCGTTGAACTGACCTTTGGTCCTGCAGTCTGCCAGTGTGGAAAAACAACAAAGCAATGTGGCTCACTTGGTGTGCACAGCAACATGGCTTCCATGGGATTTTGTTCTTAGCCGAGTCTTTATGTATTGGAGTAGGTATGAATACAAACCCAAGCAGCAAAGTCATATTCAACATCATAAATCTGCATTTTTAACGCTGGCTCATCATTTAAAAACAAACAAAAAAAAAAAACACCGTTGTCTGATAAGAAAAAAGAAACCTTAAACCTATTACACCTAATGAGAAGACAAGATGAATGTCATAGCGCTACCCATCACCATGTTTTTCTTCCATTTAAAAACCGGTCTGGTAACCATTAACCGCGAAAAACGAGGGATTACTGTAAGAGTTAGAGACTTAACAATGTGGGAATGCTGGTTGCTGCAGCTGAAAAGTGAAAACATTTCAACCCTGCTTCCTTGTAAAGTAGTGAGGTAGGAGCATGACCTCAAAACAACGTGCACTTTCAAGACCGTACAGTTGAACTTTTATCTACTTTCTGAACTCCGTTGATTCAGAGCGCGAGGCAATGAGTAATCTCAGAAGCTTTGACACGTATGAGAACTTACACAGTAACATAGTTGGTCGTGTTTTGTTAAAAGAGACTGGACACAGTCTTGTTTACCTTAAAGCAGACAGAGGACCCAGCCAAACCCTTAATCTTATATCAACTCCACTACTTCCCACTGCTTGGGATCACTTTGCGCATGTGCTCCAAAAACAAAAGGAAAACCTGGTATACAATAACAGCAACAATATTAGTGCAGATTAAAATGAAAATATAGAATCCTTTAACAATCTATGTATTATGTACGTGCTGAAATGATTGATTATTATAAGCGCTGTGTCCCCTTACACATAAAAATCATACCTCATGTTATTGTGACACTGCTCTCAATCTTTGATGTGGCACTGTGAATCTTTTAGGCGGTTTGTCATAGCACCAAGCACAAACTTTGATGCGTATGCGGCACCGTGGGACTTTTCGTCCACAAATTTTAAGGAGCACACGTACAAAGTTTTGGTCGTCTTTTTCACATGAACATTTTCAGACTAATCCTTCTGTAATTCTCAATCCTGCTGGGGACTGTGCCAATGATCACATCAACAGTCTCTCCTCAGCCGGGGAGGATGAATGTTTAAAACATAGCTCTTGAAGCCACAGACACGACTTCTGGTTGTTTGCCAACAAACTCCCAAGCCGTGCAAGACATTTTAAAAATTCGACATGGGCTTATGACCGGCAAAAAAACCTTTCAAATAAACCGGTCTGGGAAACGAAAGCCCAATGGCTTACCGCGACTTCCGGTGTATTCCAGGAAGTTGTGCCTATAATTGTTTTTCTGAGGAGCCCTCAAGAATAAGGTGGATAGCCCTTTCATGTACCAGACAACATTTTGTTTAAGACTACTGTATATCTGACTGTATATCGAAAAACATGACTTCCTGTTGTGTGCTGATGCTAAAATAAAAGGCAAGAAAGAAAACACTACAGATATGATCGTTTTCTGGGTTGCACGCTACAAATGAAATCAATATTATTTTGACAATGCATTTGGGTCAATAAATACGAAAGAGAATATAGGTGTGATGAGGATTCTTACCTTCACAGCAGTCTTGCCACATCCGCAGGTCGATCTGTGGGATGTTGTCGCAGCTGCCGTAGCCATGTGGCACCTCAGCCACCCGAAAGGCATCGCGCTGCACACGTGTGATGTTATCTCCGTTATCGCACAGCACCCGAGAAAGAGAGGCCTGCTTCAGCTGAGTCAGTTGGGCTGGCGTGAACGTTCCTGGGTTTTCATACCAGAACCTGCACAATACATCGGTGGATTTGCCAGATTCAGAAATAACCAACCAAGCAGTAAAATTCAGTTCAGTTCGGTCCGCATTTGATTTCCGACGTTTACATGTTAATGTTCCACATCTGACCCATGTTGTTCCAGGCTTCTTTCATGGATCGGTTGCACTAGTATGTTAGGGTAGTAACATTACTATTTTTTTTTTACTATTGTGTTTCATGAAGTACAGATACAGAAATAAAGCTTTGTTAACAGTACCTGTCTCCATCCCGCAGGCGTTTGAACTGCGAAGCCAGCAGACACATGAGGGTGGGCCCGAGTCGACTGCCAGGAACCAGGTCTTCGGCCATCAGGGCAGGGAACAAGTCGATGTTCAGAGGAGTGCCGTAAAGCCTATCACACAGTATATATGGTTTGGGTGACTTCAATCCACAAAGTACTCAGTTCCAGTGACTCATTCAAAATTGAGCAAGAGCTGATTGTAGCTCGAGAATCACCTCCGAAGCTTCTCTCTGACATCAGGATTCTTAATCTCGTTCCTCAAATCCTCAAAGTTCCGAGCCGACGTTAGGTTACAATAGGTCCTGTAATCGTTATATGGCGGTATGCCATGATCTCTTCCTCGCTGTATGTTCATGGCTGCCAGGTCCAAGGCCACAGCGTGGACCATAGAAAATAACCTCTCAGTCAACTCTGTATTGAGTAGCTGCGAGGAGACCCGCATTTTACCCGCCACGCCAAAGAGCCCGCGGAGGAGCGGGTCAATGCCACCCTCGTTCACGATGCGAAAGGGCGAGAAGAAGGCCCGATGCAGAGAGATGTGACCCTGCTGGATGGGCTGGAAGTCTTCATCTAACCTGTAGAGTATCGGGTTAATGAGGGTGTGCCCAAAGCGGAATGCCGCGGTGGCGAAAGCATTGAGGATGCCCGCGTTAATATTGGGGTCATAACCTGTATACGGCCCCATCATCTTCATGCCTGCCTCGCCTAGGATCTAGGAAACAGAAAAGAGTTCTGATCATCCGTATCAACGGTACCAGCTGTTACCTTTCAGTTTTCAAGCGAAACGAGTCAAGACACAAGTGTAGAATGGCATCGGAAAGGAATTGTTACCTTTGGCAACCAGTGACTATATGTGATGTGTTGCATCTGGGCTCCCACTATCTTCCTGGCCTCGTGGTAGATGGTGTCCCCATCCCAGTGGGGGTTCAGCCTGAGTAACTCTGTGGCTATGCGGTTGTGTTCCCTGAACCACACAGTGTGCATGGCGGTCAGTCCCAGTTGTTCGTTGGCACGGTGGTCTCCAGCCAAAAAGCAAGGAATCGGACTCTCATTCTCATCCCTCATACACTCAGTGGGCGGTCCTGTGGCGAAAGGCAGCAGTGGCTTGCCTGTACGCTGGATAATTCCCTGCCGGAGCAAACCCCGTTGGCTGGCCAAGTCGCGGATCTCCTCAGATTCATGGCGCGAACTACCGTAGACATTTGAGGCGTCAATGTAGGCTGTGAGCTGGTTAATTTGCTCTCTTGGGTACACGCTGTTCATGAGTAGAGATGTCATCCCACTGCCGCACACCGGGCTGGAGCGCACAAAGAACATGCAACGGGCACCGCTTCTCAGCTGTCGTGGATCGTTGGGAGGGAACTGGATGGGGAAGCACGGCGGGTCATTGGTGCAGACCTGAGTGCACAGCTGTCCGTCAGAGAACCGCGACTGGCTGAGGGCCGCCACAGTTGAGTCCAAGTCGTGATCGAGAAACTGACCCCACTGCATGAGCATGTGGGTGTAGTGATCATCCGGAGTGATGGACTCCGTTCCAATCATTGTGGTCGACACCAGCCTCGGCAGAGGCAGCCTGTAGTTGTTGTGTGCCAGCTCAGTGGCTCCCCTTGGCAGATTAAAACCATTATCATAGACTGACTTCAAGAGTCGTTCAAAAGGGGTAAGCGAGGCGCCCCACATGGCGTGCTGCAGGTTGTTGCAAGTTCCATCATGAGTGCGGTACTTCTGGTGGAAGCAAATGTCGGAACAGTTGTTGATGCGGCGGTGGGCTGTGCAGCCCGAAAGGTTGGCGATCACGTCCAGAAAGTGTGGGGACACCAGGTCATTGTAGCGAAACTCTGTAGGAGCATAGAGGATATCCAGTATGTGGACAGACTGCGTTTGGGATTGCAATTCAAACAAAGTGATTGACAATTGTGAAAATAAAACCGGGATTCTTTGTAACTCAATTTCTCGAGTAATCACACATGAGTTTGCGTGGCCAAACTCAAGAACGTCTGGATGAGTCATTCATCTGTCAGTGTCTTTTCTTCAAACACCCTCTTCTTTAAAAGGGAAACACGTCTTGGACCTGCACTGTACATTCGTTGGACCTTTACTAGGCCTCTGCATCCAATTTTACAAATGGCTGGTTTGCGTTTTTTGACAGATGACTCATTCAAGACAAAACACAAAATATGCGCCCTGTTCTCCAGCAGTGATTGATGGTTGAGCAAGTCGCTCAATACCAAGTCAATCATTCGATCCTCTGGCCTTGCTTAAGAGAAGACAGTGCTTAGATTCATAACTTATCCACATTGAAACGCTCTTCTCATTGACACTGGGAGATGTGTTTTTGGTTGAATTACTGGGAGACTTACTACATGGGCACAGTAGGAATATTTCACAAGGAACCATTAGATCGGCCATCCCTTGTACCATTGTGTTGCTTGGCAATGATTCGGGAAAGAGAGCCATTCCTTCACATGAATGCTTGCGAGGTTTTGAATCGTGCTTTGGGTCAGGGTGCTTGCATATTTTTTAGTTTTTTTTTTTAAATGACGCCTCGAAATGGCCTTTAGGTTTACAAGCTAGCGCGTCTATCCATGCAGTGCCAGTCCTGTCATCGGTGACCAGTTTAGGGTGTAACTCGCCTGTCAATCTAAGTCAGATCGGATAGGCCGCAGCTTCCCAGTAACCTGAACCAGGATAAGCAGTAAAATGGATGTATGGATCAATTATGAAATATGTACCCTAGATTTAGAATCAGAACAGTTGATTGATATGCTAATCAGCCTCACCAGTGCCGTTGGTATCGACCATGAGACCCTGGTTGACATGGTTCTGGATGAGAAGCAGAGTCTGCTCAAAGATCTCGCCGGCACGAGCCTGCTCCACAGTGTACGGGTCACGTGGGTAACGGAAAAGCGTAAGTAGCTCTCCCGGGGTACGAGGCTGACTGCAGTGATAGGGAGATGTTGGAGAGGCAGAAAACAGGAGTGGAATGAAGAAAACAGTAATTATCCAAATATTTCAAAACTAGGTTCAGACTTGAGTGGAAGAGGACCCAGAAAATGACAATAGTTAAGAGTTGAACAATCACCCTGAGAAGCATTAGACTGTAGATGTACATGGACGATGAAAGCCTTGTACAGTAAATGCTTCTGTAGATCTTGCAGGTAATACATCACTTCCAAAGTTGGACATGAGGGTGTGGCAAAGTGTGAACATATTCAGTATACCATTTCAACTCTGCCTAAGAGAGAGCTATATAGCAAACAAAATTCCTTTTACTCCAAGCACAGTGATGTCATATTATGGACTGATGCCAAAGCCAACATGAATACCTCATTTGACATGTTAAGTACTGAGACGCACATTTGGTAGCAACACATTACAGTACAACCTATATTTTTATTTTACGCTTGGTCACGCAGAAATAAATATATACCATACAATGCACAAGTAGTGTAACAAAGAAATGAAATAAAGCCACAAGGGAGACTGATTTGCGCATATTGACTCTTTGAGAAGTTTCTTGGACAGACGTCTTCGACAAACAAGAGTCATCCCGTTGCTTCGATTCAATGGAATTCGTGTTTACAACTTTATATTTTTACAACTCATCGTAATGTGTCACAGAGCTTTATGATTTTCAGTCAAATGACAGTTTTGACACCTGGATACAAGTGTCCTGTAATAGTCAAGAAATTGCTCTCAGATCTGTATGGCATTGAGAGGAACACAATCAGTGTACTATGCTATCCTAGTAATGAATGCACCAGCAGTTTTGCTGGATCAGTATATTACTGTTTTTTAGTTCATCTGATCATTTTTGCCGGCAGCCTGCGATTGCCATTTAAGACTACGGCTGGAAATCCCCTTGTCTGATTTTTTTTGGGTTGGCGGTTCAAATTGTGTGCATTTGTGTTCTTTGTTTATGTGTTTGTTCTTGTTCAACGCATCATGCATGCATGTGTAAGCCAAGTGCAGCGCCGTGTGCACATGCCAAGATCAACACAACTGCTTACCGCATTTTTAAACAGGATGGAAACACTTAAGAACTATACAGAACTTGCCAACAGTGACGAAGATCAGTTCTTTATCTATTCTACAACCAATAAACTCCGGCCAAGATGAGAAAATTGGTAACCTTGATTATGATTAAACTCAGCGCATCTCTAAAGAAGTCTGCAGCAAGGTCTTGTGGGCCAAAACATTCTAGGACGAAAATCAGGAGATGTAATTAATTTGCTGGGATGTTGATATACAACCATTGCCATACCACATGCCGGTAATTCGGGCCACCAGTATGAATTGTTGAAGGGCAAAGAATGTCGTAAGCCTTTTATTTACAATGGCACCTCGGGTTACGAACGATTATTCATTCGCAATTTGCGTTACGCACGAAATTTTTGCAGAAAAATGATCTTTGTTTACATTGTATTTTTGGTATACCGTGGCATGGACAAGCGGATGATCTTTGTTGTGTTTTTTCTCGGGCTGCATAAACATCATTGGCTCTACGAAATCACGCCAAAATAGTCAAATTCATGCCGCGGGGTGGAAGTTCCACCCATACGTGCATTCAGTTGTAGTTGAGTGAATGTGGAAGTAGGTCCCATGTTGACGTGTTGAACTTACACAAGTAAACAAAGCACAAAACTAAAGAGTCAAAATGTCTCTCAAGGAAAAGGAAAGAGTGTTGGGAACACTCGTCATAGATTATCAGACTGATTTATGAGAAAGTGCTCGCTGGCGATAGTGTGAGCGAGGCAATCAAAAAATTGTCAAGATGATCAAAATAAATGTGCAGCAAACTGGCCAAGAAAGCAATTAATCTTTGTGATGTCCAACTTTGTGATTTTTTTATTTTTTTTTTGTAGAAAAAGACGTTTGCATGGATCAGTAATCCAAAATCAACCTATCAATTATAACAAAAGTCAGACAGACATGACTTTTTAAGGATGTGCGGCAACTCTGTACAACCACATAATTAGGAAATTGATGAAGTAATTTCACGTGGAGCAAATTTACTCGATCTTGTAATTAATGTTGTGGCCAGTAAAGTACAATCTGCATAAGTCACAGCTTACCCATCAAACAAACGTCTCCTTGTAGACTCAATTGCGCTGTCCACATTACGAATCGCTTGCTCTATGGACGAGCTCACAAAGGTGTCGCCCTCTCTGCTCACTGCTGGAACTGCAAGACAAGAAGACAGGGGTTGTCGTTCAGAAGCACACACTTGAATGCAAACAAGGCCAATACTACATGCAACATGGCAATGTCCCCAAATATACAAAAAAATAAAATAAAATCTCACACATGCTAATAGACAAGTTTCAGAATGACTCGATTGCTATCCGTTTTCTAATGGTTTCATTTTATCTCTTTAGCTGCTCCCCTTGGCTTGATACTTTGTTGGCTAATGTAAGAAGAGAAGAGTGTTAGTCATATTGATAGAGTAATGCATAAAGAACTGGCTCTGAAAGAGAGGGAATTTATTTTTCGCTCTCTAGAACAGTGCAGAATCATGTTTACAAGTTGAATTTGATAAAATGAAATGATAGTGCATAAGTATAACCATGTTGCGACTCTCCCGGCACATTACCCTTATTTGAATTGGCTGTTGCTTCAAAATCAAATATTTTCAAGTATATTACAGATGGCTTTACATCAGCTTCATCACTGGTTCAGCAAGTAATTTAATTTGCTAGGCCATGCTTGGGATGTAATCAATTTCTCCTCCTTGAGGGCTTTTTAACTCAATTTCTCTTGTCTTAAGTGCTGTAAGGGTAATACTGAAAATAGTTTTATAATTTAGTAAAAAAAAATATTGTAGCATAAAGACTTTATTCTGACATTCCCTTCTGACTTTTTAGAGTACAGTAATCCCTTGTTTATCCAGGGTTTCCACTCTTCCACTTGCTTTTTATTTATGGACCTTTTAATGACTTTTGAGGACCAATTTGGCAATTTTTAAGGACCTTTTCTCCATTCAGCGGGGGATTCACGGTGGATTTAATGCCCGCTCAGCAATACATGGGCTGAACAGAAAGCCACATATCACTGAGCTGGTCAAATCATTGCTGCCAAAGGAAGGAGACATCTTTATTTTTAGGGGCAATCACTTAACCCTTTATTTGACATACTTATGTCAAATTTTCACTTTCCTACCTGTATTACAGGTAGGAAAATGAAAAAAACTTTTAAATTAATTCTCAAATAAAACACACAAAGAAAAATTTAAATTGAGAAAATATAAAACTTCAATTTATTTTCGAATAAACACAACACTAAGAACAGAGCTAATGGTCATATGGGTCACCTGGACAGGGTTTAGAAAAATCTGGTTTCACTAACAGTAGTACTGATTGCCCATCTTAGCAGTATCCAGTATACCTGAACAGCTGAAATGCATGTCAGAAGTCTAAATCCCAAATGGTCCAACCCTATTATTTTCCCTCATATCACCTTCAATGATCAGACATGTTTTATAATTACAAATATGAAACTGATATGGCAATTAGGGAATAGCAGACAGTGACTTAGTTTTCTCCTCAATCTCTTTTGCAAGTTCTTGG